AAGTGCTGGTTTCTTGTTAATGTGTTCTCCTATCATGTAATTTTGAAAATTAAAACTAATTTATAATTTTTAAACGGTCTTAAACTCAATATAATTGGCAGGATATAAAGATGCAAGGAATTCAGAATTTTCTGAATTCAGTAAAACCTGAGAACCAAGCACACTACCTTTTTAAGAATACTAATATTATTTAAGTGATTGTGCATATACCCAGAGCCAGTGTAGTGTCATCAAGGTTAAAAATAACAACAGAAGCACATCTCAGACTCTGTCTCCTGTCTCCTACTAACGGAACACTTTCCTTTACACTATTAGAAGTCCATTGTTAAGATGATAACCCTGAAGAAAAAAAGATTAAGTTCAAATGATGTCCCCAATGTCAAATGCCAGAGAAAGTGTCAGGATCATGTCCAGAGACTTCCCAATGTGATCACTTTAGCTTCCTTTCAGCTCCTGTACCTAATAACAAGCTCCAATATTCAGCCTGCTTACCAGCTTCAGACTGGGTAGCCCCTTTCTGTTTCATAACAAACCAGCTCATTTGGGAAGGAAGGCCATTTTATTTACAAAATTATATGAAGCTTGACCTTTTTCCTTTACTGAATGAGCTGCTTTTGTTCCCTTAATTGCTTCTCCTGTAAGATATTAAGCCTGAGAGGACCTCAGTCCCCTGTGTCGATAAAAAAAAAAAAAAAAAAAAAAAAAAAAAACTCATCTGACACTCGGGACTTTCCAACTTCTCCTATTGCTCACTGGGCTCAGACTCAACTTGGGAAATGAAACTGAGAGCAGCGGGCATCAAGCGAGGGAGGGAATCCTCTGGGCTGTTCACTGACAAAAAAAAAAATTAATTTACAGAGCCTATCTTTCCTAAGTTAAACGGACATGCAGTTGATTCAATAGGCATCTCGCACAAAGGGGATGCTGGCAAAGAATCAGAGCAGGGTAGACAGATAAAGGTTTTAGGAGAGGCCATTAACTATTACAGCCTCTACATAGGGGGCATTCGTGGACTTGTAGCTAGTAAGCACCCACACACCTGTGCTCTGTCTTCAGAAGGTACAGATCTGTAATGGTTAATGACTCACTAGTATTTTCCCAGAAAGAAGTGTAAGCAGATGTCCAGATTCACTCACTGAGTGGGCATTTCACAGGTCCCGTGCTTTAGGCTTAAGGATGCTACGCATGGCTGACACGGATTGAAAGAGAATGGGCTAGCAAGCACTGCTCGGTTCCCGTGGAGCAGCACTCCTGTTTTACATGTGTGAACAACAGTAACAGACTGGCATTAATCATATTAGACGATTCTCAAAAGAAAATGAAAAAGGGTTTTAAACATGCAAAAAAAGTTTTGAGACGCAATCCTTTCCTATTTCAGTTTGGGAATTTGACTAAAAGACAGCAGACGCCCTGCTAAGGAGAGCCTCACTCAAGATCTATGACAGCAGAGGCTGTGATTGAGTCTTAAATATAAAGTAAAAACCATTGCACACAAGTCAAATAATTATAAATTTCTTTCCAATGGGCAACTACAATCAAAGTTGACAACCTTCCTTCATTAGATATTATTCCTTCAGGGGAAATGGTAGGCTTTTAAAAGAACATTTCTATTTGAATTTTTAATAATAATAAAAAAAAAAGCTCTCACCAGCATGAACAATACACAGGGTTGAAAGTAAAGGCTGGAGCTATTAGGCCTCATTAGCTAATTATGGTATTGGCATCCACTTAAGTTAGCTGGTTTTTCACTTGGGTCATTTTCGCCCATTCAACTGTTGTGGTTCAAAACGTTTTGACTACTTAAAAGGGAATACATCATCGTTGCCTTTCCCCAGTCAAACTGCATACCACTTTCCCAAGCAACAGCTTCAATCATGCTTCATAAAATCCCCTGCAAGCGTATTGTTAGAAACATAAATCAGCCAGCTGAGGCTTTAGTATTTCCAAGGCAAGCCTGAGGGTCACTGGCTGGTAGGGTTTTCATGGCTCCATCAAAAAAAAAAATAAAATAAAATAAAATAAAAACACAAAAGAATAAACAGAAATGTGAGTTACACACGGTTCATTAAAAAAAGAAAAACAGCTCCCAGTGGTGGGTCTGATACTTGCTGCTGCACCCTTAATTAGAGAAGAAAACAGCAGCCTGGAGAAATGAGACTCCGGGATAAGGACTTGTGTTTCCAGGCGTCTTTGACTTCATTACGACACACGGCACAGCGATACTACATGCTTGCTCACACAAAAGCTAGTTCCCCTGGACACTCAACTATGGCTCTCTGCATGTCCTACCACGGCACTAGACCGACCGAGCGATCATCTTTACAAAGATGCCACCCTTCTGCCCCATTTCACTGACAAGGAATATGGGTTCCCCTGCAGGCATGCCTCCGGTCCACAGTTCTCTATAACTACCCTGTGTGCTGATTATAAACCAGCCGAATCACAATTTCAAATACGTGTCACATATGGAGACCCAAAGTGTATCTGTCTTTGTGTACTATTTTCTACCTAGGTACTCGAACATTCCAATCTCTCTCCTATCCCCGAATTCCAACACACTTAACATCAGCAAGGATAAATGCACAGACCCCACAACTGAGATGATTTTCTCCCGAAAGCTCCCAGTGTAATCATCAATCTGCACGAACTTGCCCCATATTACTCTACACTACACTCACTTAATTGCAATTGCATCTGAGTTAAATTCTCAGCCTGTCTCTTCAGATTCAGACTTTGTGTGTGTGTGTGTGTGTGTTATAAATGAACAGTTAAACACAATCAGCATCCTTCCAAAAATGACAGCTTTGTATCTTGTAGTGAACAAGGGTATGCTGATCTTTGCAAGAGAAGTGACTGAATTAATGAATGAGACTAATATTAGCTTCAGATGAATCCATCTGCAATTTTTCTGAGACTGAAATGTTTCCCATCCTGTGTTAGGATGGGAAAAAGAGGAGCTCCAGTCTGAGGCACTTTATAAATGAGAGCAATATCCCGGCATGTGCATTCTTACTTCAGAACATAAAAATCTGCATCCAATCGCGGTTGGTTCATCATTTACAAACACTGTAGTTTGGGGAGAAGGACAGAGAAAGGAAGGCTTTACATCCAAAATGCCAAGCCCTGCTGAAGAATGATAGAAGGACAGTGTGTGCAAGAGCAGAAACCATCATTTCTTGCTTAAAATGGAGTTCTACCACCCCCTGCTGGACCAAATGAGCAACGCCGAAGAGGTGAAAAAAAATGCATAGGATTGGATTTAGAGAAGATATTTTAACTTATCTTGCAATTTATTAATTTCGCAGAAAATGCAGCATAAATAATATGCCATTTCTATACCTTTCAACCAGATGAAAAACCATGGCTATTCCCTTTGCCTTGAACGACTTCCACCATTGCACATTTTGACATTTTCTCTCCCCAATTAAATGTCCAAACTTGTCTGGACAGTTGAAAACCTTTCAAATGATTGTGAATATATTTTATGTGAACGTGTACTATGTAAGCCAGAAAGAGGCATGTCTTCCATATAGAGACTAGCAGAGATCGCTTCCATCAATTGTCCCTGGGGTTATTCTACCACAGTCTTTTTTTTTTCCTCCCCCACCCAAAAGAAAAAAGAAAAAGAAAAAGAGGAGGCGGGGGAGCTCCCCAATGCTCCCCAACCTCCCAAATCCCTTACAGGTGTAATTCAAATCGGATGTTAGAACGTGTTCGGATTTTGCTATATTCACGGGGGGGGGGGGGGTCACAATGAATGCCTGCAACACAACCCTAGTTTTAGCCATTTGCTGTCTTACAGCATCTATGGCCCGTTAGTTTCCAACATAAATAAGCCATCAAACGTTCACTTCACAGCCAAGAATAGGTGTTGGGAAAGGAGAAGAGAATCTCTAAGAATTGAATGTCTTGCACACCACAGAGATTTTTTTTTTTTTTTTTTTTTTGATAAACGACTTTAATGCTGATAGTTTTTTTTGCCGCTTCTGTAAAACACCACTATGCCCTTCCCTTCAGCAACCTCGGATATTTAACTAGGAATCCACACCAACACACTCATCCAATTTTGGGTAATAAGAGAGAAAGCCAAAAATCCCAGAAGAAGCAGCAGTTTCCCCCCACATACACACACACACTCCCGGATCCCTTTCACACCGATGCCTATCTCCAATTCTGCACCGGTCTCCTCTTATTGAAAGGGGTTTTCGAGCAAAGGGAGAGAATTGGGGTGGCGGGG